AAAAAGGGGGGGGGGGGGGGGGAGGTATAAAGAAGATGAAGCAAGATTCTTCTCAGTGGTGCCCAGTGACAGGACAAGAGGCAGTGGGCACAAACTGGAATATAGGAAATTCTATTTAAATGTAAAACTTCTTAAACTCTAAGAGTGGTCAAACATTGGATCAGGTTGCTCAGAGAGGTGGTGGAGTCTCCATCCTTGGAGATACTCAAAACCTGACTGGATGTGGCCCTTGGACACCTGCTGTAGTTGGCCACTTTAAGCAAGTGGCCTGCACTACACAATATCAAGAGGTCCCTTCCAACTGTTGCATTAAAGGGTAAAGGAATTTGGCAGAAAATAAACTTCTTGCATTCCAGCTTATCCTCAGATGTTAGAGGGGCTGGGGGTGGCTAGGTTTTGTTTCTGAGTAATGTCCAATTCAGTGCTGTAATCATGATGACGGATGCACTTATAGCACACTGCACTCTCAGCTGCATTCAAAACATGAGAATTACCAGACTTAGGGATTTTGGTTGTATTAATGAATTATCATGATTAGATTAATGAGCAGCGCAGTTTATATTAAAGCAACAGTACAGGTTCTTTTGGATTGCTGGTGATAAATACAGTCTGCAAAGCATGTGCAAATGATAATACAGTTGACTACAAGTGCATTAAATTATGAAAGAAAAGAGCTCTAAAGAATTCTGAGTTTCTCGGGGAAGTACCTGGTACAGCCCAGTGTTTGACTGTTACCCAATAGGCATCCCTATAGTGGGGAAGAGAGGTTCAGCCTGTTGACTGATCTCAGAAGTCAGCGCTGTCCTCCCAACTTGTCTGTGATGGTGTCTTCCCTAACAGTCTTCCTCTTTTGGGGTCTTTTTATTCTATTTTTTCCTTTTAGGTGGAGCTTGACTGACTCTAGTCATACATACGTTTACTTTGATTGGTATAAAGTTCTCTTGCTTAGCTTTTAAAGGTATATGCTAGAAAAAATTCAGAGTGCATGTTCCATTGGGGGGGTGGTTGCACCTTGGAGGTGGGTAGCTTTTGGGATGGAGATATGTTTTGGTATTATAATGAGCAAAGTTCACCCAAAGGACATGGTGTTGCACATTGGTACCCCAGAACTGAGCACATGTGATATAAATCAGAAATAGGGCATTAGGTCGACAGAACCCCCATGATTTTACCTCCTTGCTTCAGTGGATTCAATGCAGGGACCAACTGTTCTTGTTCTTATTGTTCAGTTCCCTATCCCTGCAATCACAGAGCCTGGCTGTGGTGTCTCCACTCTCTTCCACCCTCTGTGTTACTTCTCACAGTCAGCACACCAAGCTCCTCTGGTGTTGCTAACATCTGAAGTTGCAGGTTATGTTGTTCAGGGAAGTACTACAGAACTGATTCTTTACGTGTCTACTGCATTCCACCCTGGAGGTTCACCTTCCCTTGCAGGGGCAGTGCGGGGGTGGGGTATCATATCGATAAGTCACTTCCAGCAATCATTCCACACCAACCTTAACTACTCTGTGACTTATCTGCTATTTAACCTGCTTATTGCATGTGTGACCACCTCTAGCCTTAAACTTTTGTTAATGCAAAAAGCCCTGTGTGGTGAGTTGACCCTGGCTGAATGCCAGGTGCCCACCAAAGCTGTTCTATTACTCCCCCTCTTCAGCTGGATGGGGGAGAGAAAATATAACAAAGGGCCTGTGGGTTGAGATAAGGACAGGAGCGATCACTCACCAATTACCATCATGGGCAAAACAGACTCAGCTTGGGGAAAATTAACTCAATTTATTACCAATCAACCAGAGTAGGGTAATGAGAAACAAAACCAAATCTCAAAACACCTTCCCCCCACCCCTCCCTTCTTCCTGGGCACAACTTCACTCCCAGATTCTCTACTTACCCCCCCAGTAGTGCAGGGGGACAGGGAATGGGGTTTATGGTCAGTTAATCACACAGCTATTTCTGCTCCTTCATCCTCCTCAGGGGCAGGACTCATCACACTCTTCCCCTGCTCCAGTGTGGGCTCCCTCCCACAGGAGACAGTCCTGCACAAACTCCTCCAATGTGGGTCCTTCTCACAGGCTGCAGTTCCTCATGAACTGCTTCAGCATGGGTCCCTTCCACGGGCTGCAGTCCTTCAGGAGCACACTGCTCCAGCGTGGGTCCCCCATGGGGTCACAAGTCCTGCCAGAAAACCTGCTCCAGTGTGGGCTCCTCTCTCCACAGATCCGCAGGTCCTGCCAGGAGCCAGCTCCAGTGTGGGCTTCCCATAGGGTCACAGCTTCCTTCAGGCACCCACCTGCTCTGGTGTGGGGTCCTCCATGGGCTGCAGGTGGATATCTGTTCCACTACAGACCTCCATGGGCTGCAGGGGGACAGCCTGCCTCACCATGGTCTTCCCCATGGGCTGCAGGGGAATCTCTGTCTGCTCTGGTGCCTGGAGCACCTCCTCCCCCTCCTTCTTCACTGACCTGGGTGTCTGCAGGGCTGTTTCTCTCACATGTTCTCACTTCTCTCTCTGGCTGCTGTTTTCTGTCTGTCCGGCAACTTTTTTTCCTTCTTAAAAATGTTATCACAGAGGTGTTACCACTATCACTGATGGGCTTGGCCTTGGCTGGCAGTGGGTCTGTCTTAGAGCCGGCTGGTATTGGCTCTGCTGGACACAGGGGAAGCTTCCAGCAGCTTCTTGCAGAAGCTGCCCCTGTAAACACGCCCCCCCCCCGCTACCAAAACCTTGCCACACAAAGCCAATACACCGCAGCACAAACCTGTTCACATTCTGGCTTCTAAAATATCTTAGTTTTGTTGGAAAGTTTCCTTCATACAATGTTGAGGGTTAAGAGTGCCCTCATAAACTGAAGAAAGTTTATAAGGATTTGACTTGGAATTTGTGTTAAAGGCTCTTTGGCTTGAAACAAAGTACTGTTTAGGAATATAAAATGGTGAGTATGTTTATTTGTAGTGATAGATTGTGCTAAGTTAGTCTACCACAAATTCTTGAGTGGAAGATTACTGATGCAGTTATATACAGCATTGCTGAAAGCTTCCAGTTTAGAAGCAGCTTTTGTTTCTTGTATTGCAATGATTCAAGCTAAATATATATTGGATCAGTTGATGCTTGTGATGTTTTAGTTTTTCTTGAGTGTTTCTTAAAGCCGCCAAAATAGCTACAAGTAGTTGTACTATCAGGGCTGTCATGTCATTCTCAAATTTCACATCTTAAAACCCCTACAACTTCATAAATTTAAACTCCTGAAACAGTTCTCCTCTTGCCTGGATATACAGTGCTATAATCTTCAGCCCTTATTCTTTCCACTAATGCAGTCATGGAGGCAAAGAGCAGAAATAAATGAGGTAGGGGGCAGGGGAGAGGAGGGGAGAATAGCTGCCCTCCTAGTTATCTTCACCCCGCACTGCTGCATCCCCATGCTGCTAATGTGTTCTCAAGCCCTTGCTTCTGTAGGGGCAAGTATCAAACTCAGTGTTGAATTTCTGATGTCATTCTGCAGTAAGATTATAGCTGCATTCTTCCAGCTCTTCTGCTTTCCCAGAAGCAGAATACAAGTTAATATGTTCCTCTGTACTTTACCTATTACAGTAGCCCATCATGGAAGACAGCGGTTCTATTCCCCATCACTAGAAATGTGAGCTGAATTAAATATTTATAGAGTATCTTTAAGCCAGGAAACTGCTACTGTAAAAACACCAAGTGGTGGTCAAATCCATACAACATTAGCAAAACATTAAAATTGAATCACTTTATTTGGACAGTGTTCAGCTGAGCAAACATAATAAATATAGAATCCCAAGCAGTCATTTCTGGCACGGTTAAGTTCCTCACCAGCTTGTAGGATCAATGTTCTTGAATGGTTGAAGGTTCCAGAGATCTTGCAAACTTGTTGAAATGCCACTGGTTTTGCAGGAGCCCACGTCCAATGCTTAGTATCAAACACAACTTAAACAAGTAGAACTGCGTTAATACAGCCATCATTTTCTGGATTGTTTGTTACTTGTGCATATTTCCCTAAAGAGAAAATGGAATTAAATGTCTTAAAGTAGTTCATACCATTAAAATTTTCTATGTTTGCAAGTTCAATCCCCAAGTCTCTTAAAAAGTGGAGAAATTCCCCTTCCAAAACTGAAATGTATTTTGAAAGCTAAATCTACCTTCTGCTGAGCTGCAAACTTAGGTTCTCAAAATATTTTATTCAGGCTGTTTTTTATAAATGGATCATTTGGAGTTCTGGGTAGATTTAGAAATAATTCATAGGTTCTGCTATAGTCTAAGTCAACATCTCTGTTAAAAGTTCAGCCTGTTCCTATGAAGATACTTCTACACAGAACTTCCACTGAAAACATAATATAATTGTTCATAGTTCAGATGGTTAGGTCTCTACAGACTTAAAGGACTGCTTAATGTGAGACATAGGCAAGCAAGTAGTCTTTGTTCTGAGCTTCACCTAATTTGATTTTGAAAGTGTAAATGGAAAGCCTAAGATTAAAACTTAAAACTTGTAATTTTAGAGCTGCCTAGCTTCTGCTATGGCCCAAACCTAACATTTAACAGTGAATCAATTATGACAATTTATAGGAAGTGGTCTCAACAATACATCAGGCAATAAAGATTTAAAACTCTTTAAAGTAGTTCTGCAGTATAGCTAGTTTAACTACTTACCCCAGATAACTTTTCCCCCTTGTGTCACGAGGCCAAGCTCACTCACGTTCACCTCAATGACGGTACCCTTGGTAATTACACCCAGCGTTGTATACAAAGGAGAAGAAGGATTCTTTTTTACACCAAGGATAGGTAGGCAAAAAGTAGCTTTAAGTTCAGGATGTGTCACATGTGCCTTCTTGAAACGTAAGCCCTGTTGCATAAGGAGTGTTAGAACAAGTTAATACTTGCTTTAAGCCCTCACGACTAATCTAGGTTAACACTTTTAGCATTATGTCCTCAGCTTTTTATGTTTTGAGACCAGGAAGAATGAAACAACCTAGAATACAGAATGCTATCTGCCTACTATAGAATGCCAGATTTGTTTAAAAACCTGATTAATGACAGGATAAAGCTTTCCATGTGTATTTTCAGGATGCCAATTTTTAATAGTAGTACAAGAGGAATACGTCCTACCTCAGATGGCTTCTGCTCCGTGAAGAAATGAAGCATTTATGGTGACGCACTTAACAGTGCTACTGGTTTTTAGGACTAGAAATTTTTCCTTTATTCTTGTAAAGCTGAAAAACCTTTCACATATTGTAAAATACTAAACACCCATCTCTTATAGCAGTTTCTATTTAGCAACCTGTGCTTCATAAAGGGTACTTTACCGTGAAGTACCATAAACTTCAGTAAAAATCTATCCAAGGCTTCTGTGTAAGATGACTGTCAGAACAGTAATGAGGTATGATCCAACAGGTACCCTGCCTAGTGATTCTGCTGATTCCTGTGAGGAAACAGGAACAGGTATTTATAGAAAAACTATGCTGTCTTAGTGAGTTTAATTGTTCCTCCTGTGCGCTGCTAGAGCCCAGGCACTGTTCCTGCAGCTGTGTAAGAAAAGGTCAGGCTGGAGGCACAGCATTTCCCTTGCTTATGGTCATGACTATGCTTCAAGCTTACTTAACAAGCCAGAAGGAGGGAGTTCTGGAGTCCTAGAACAGAGCTGGCTTCTGCAGCTGACAGAATGACAGTAGTTTGAAAAAGAAGCCTCCAACTTTAAAAGCTATTCAAAGTGCCTTTGCTGAAGACCTTCCCATGCTAATTTGACAGCTCAGAACTTTAAGTGACTGGCATCATCTGAGTTTTGGGAGTAAGAGCAGAGATTTCAACAGAAACTGTGATTGCAGGGGCATCACTCCACCCTCAGGCTATTCTATGTTTAGATTTCTGCAAGGAAGCTAATAGGAATGTTCTACATCTGTAGTAATCAAATGCATTATCACAGAAGAAAGTTTCCTTGCCACAGGAACTGAAAGCAGTAAGTCAAAAGAATTATTACTTAAAGGTTCTTTAAGGCTCAAGAACATTACCATTGGTCGAATGAAGCGTTCGTATTTAGGAGGCTTCCTAGTAAAGCCATCTCCAACAAAACAAACTTTGGTAACCATTCTTTTCCAGGCCTTCTTCTTTCTCTTTCCTGTACGAATTACTTTTAAAACTTCTGTTTCTCCTTGTGCACGGACCTTTGGCACAGGAACCTCCCATTTCCCCTGGAAGGGGGGGGAAAAAAAAAAAAGTCAATAGTCTTAAATGCTACATTGCTAAATGAAAGGGGACAACCAAAGCATAAGATAAGATTTCCCTAAAGAGTAGTGGTATGCTATACTTTTTATACAACTCATAGCTACTTGTTTTAATTAGCATTTAAAGTTATTAAAATCAAGATATTCCATATGCTTACTTTGTCCTAGATTGCTCAGTTACTCAAGATTTCAGATTTTGTACAATATCAGTGTGTAGACTTTGCTTGTAGGCTGTAAGTCACCTGAGCATCAGCAACACAAACTGGTCATTGTCACAATTAACAGTAAGTATCTGAATTTTAATACAGTTACTTACAGCTTTTTCTTTTCTTTTCTGCTTGATCATGTTAGAGAGAACCTTAGCCCGGGACTGGCCTTCTCTGTCGAGCAGGTATGCTGGTACAGCTCCTTTAGGTGTTTTTTCATCATTCTTTTTCTTCGTATTTCTCTTTTCATGCATCTTAATGCTGCAAGGAAAGAACACCAGTATTAAGAGTAGAAAAAAGAAAAGCTCATTTTTACATATATCCTTTAACTTAGCTTGTGCCTGCTCAAAATTTTCTTTTACGAGATATTTGTGAAAAAGTACATATTTAAGGAATAATCCTAAATAATTTTCAGAGTAAACTAGTAACTTCGCTTAATGTAACAACTGACAGACTGCATGGTGCATAAAAACTTGTCAATTCCTGTCAAGTCAGGAACACAAGATATGCATCTTATTAATGAATTTCCAAATGACTTAACACAAGCAGCCAAGCACTTTGAGAGAGAGTAGCCTTCTTCTCTGACAAAAAATAACATACTACTACTCTTCCGAGATTTAACATCAATGCTTACAAATCTGAGGAACGTGTGTGTGTGTGTAAAAGGGGTTGTGTTCTGTTAATTTTGAGGCCGTCTGGAGGGGAGGGCAGGTGGGAAGGCCCACAGACTAGTTAACAAGCCCAACACCTTTACAAGTAGCAGAGGAAAAGAACTGTCTACGCTTGGAAAACAACAAAAACAACACGGTGAACAGATACTAAGTTCGCTAGCCATAAAGAATATTGTTAACAGCTTTGACTTCAATTTCTGAACAACAGAGAGAATTTTTGGAAAAAGGCTTCTGTTTACCTATGCTCAATATTTTAATTTATCCTGGAAGACAAGCCTTGTGTTCTGCTCAAACGCTCTGTACGTTACTGTACTTTTTCTATTAACGGTGTTAAAAAAATGCCCGCTGCCTGTTGCTACGCTGATACAGCGGTTGATGTAAAAGCCCTAAGAACAGGCAGTCGTAATCCTGTCGCAGTGACATGGTCACTGCTGTCGCTAACCGGCTCTCCTCTTAAGGAATCCCTTTAGGAGCGGCGCTGTTAACATCCAGCGAGAAGAGCCTTCACTGTGGCAAACCCCACGTTCCCCTACGGCCTGAGCGCTCTTCAAAAGCACACGCGTGACCGACCCCCGCGGTAAGCGGTCCTTTCCAACGCCACGGACGTCGCATCCCGCCCTTCAACCGTCAGGATGGCCGGGCGGGTACTCACGTCTTCTTCATCTGTATCTTCTCGGCGTGCCGCTGCTTGTGGTAGAGCTTGGCCTTCAGCCCGATCATCTTCTTCGCCTTCCGCGACCGCTCGTGAGCCTCGCGGCCCTCCTTCTTCCTCCTCCTCTCGTGGTAGTCCAGGCGGTACCCATAGCGCTTGCGGTGCAGCTCGATGTACTCGTTCTGCGGCTGTGGGGCACAAGGCAGCGCCGTCAGCGGGAACCGGCGGCCGAGGGCCGGGCGGCCGGCGCCGGCGCTGCCCCCTCGAGGACCCGCGCCACGCGGCGGGGGCCCGAG